GCTGTTGGCCCATTTAGCGGTCGGCTGCGTTTGCTGTGCCATACCTTGCTGTGCTGTGCAGTTCAACGGCGGCTGTTCATTTTCGCCAACAGGGCGTATGCGTAATTTGAAGGGAAGTAAATTTGCACAAGCCGACACATATCTGCCACCATTTGCCTATGTATCTATAAATGTACGTGTGTAATAGGTGCATGCATTTACGGGTACTTAGCTAGTGAGATATTTATAAATTCTAGACGAAATGCAAACAATACTTTGCTGTACAACTGAAAACAAAAATGTAAAAAAATAATATTTATTTTGCAGTCTTAGTTGAGACACTTTTAAGTATATATTACAGCTTAACTCAATTTCGAGAGATTTTAAGTTTGAAATTTGATGCCAAAAACTTTAAATTTTGCTACAAATACTATTTTAGCTTTGATAGCTTAAATACTAGTTTTGTGTGAAAAAAACATTGAAAAAGCACCTGAAGTGGCTGCTTTAAAATATTTTGTGTTGATAGGTGTGCTTCGTAGCAAACTTTTACTTAAAACAAAAAAAGAAAAAAACGCTTTAACTTGAGCTACACCGTAAACGTAATACCCTTCACAGGTGCTATTCTTGTAACATAAAAGTGTATAAAAAGATCTTTATCTTGATTTTGATCGGTCAGTTTGTATATCAGCTCTATGCGATTGTGGTCCGAACTGAACAATTTTCGGGAGATTGTGGCGCTTTTTTGGGCAATAAATCATGTACAATTTCGCAAAGATATCTTATCAAATAAAAAAGGTTTCCATACAAGAACTTTATTCCGATCGATCGGTTTGTATGACCACTAAGCGCTATGGTACTTCAATCCGAACAATTTATAGAGAAATTATAGCGTAGCCTTGGTCAATAACCTGTGCCAATTTTTGTGAAGATATCTTGTCAAATGAAAAAGGTTTCCATACATGAGCTTAATTTTTATTGGTCAATTTGTATGACAGCTATATGATATATTGCTCTGATCTGAACAATTTGTTGGTATATTGTGGCTCTTTTTTTTTTTAGCAATAATCTATGCCAATTTTTGTGAAGATATCTTGTCAAACAAAAAAGTTTTCCGTACCCATGCCGATTTTCGCCTGCTATGTTAAAGCGCCGAAAGATTTCTGTGTCACTTCTAGATGAATAACTCGAGTAATGAGCAAAAGGCTTTGCAAAAATGTGAATTGTATAAACTGGCATTGATGCTAGAAATCGTCTGGAATCGTGTTACATATGACTTGATTGTCAAGTTAAAACTTTTTTTTAATTCTTGCAGCCTTCGAGAAAAATTTCAGGTTCACGCTGCTTGACTTTGTCCGATCTTTGCCCATCTTATGACTTAGATGCTACCGAATTCGATATTATATGATTTTACTAACGTTTTTAAACTTCCTGCCTTTTATTATTACATGAGTGGTTAGGCTAGGCAGTATGCAGAGAGCAAATACTGCATTTTTGATTTTACAAATGTTCACATTTTCGACGTAACTAGACCCCAGTGCCAGCTCATGGATTACTATATACCCTAAAGTATTACTTAAATATGATTTCATAATATTGTTCGGACTTCTAGGTAATAAAAAACTTTCAAATTAACAAATAATATAAACTCAATTACAGCACATTGTATGGTTTTTCGTTTTATTAAAAGCCTGAATATCCATTTCCCAACAAATACTATTTTCATTTCCTCTATTTGGCAACCATAGCGGAATATCAAATGCTGCAAAACGCCATTACGTCAAATGCAAAAGCTCTTTAGAACTTCTTAGCTAACTTGAATTGTGTAACCTCAACTGCAGACTTAAATTAACTAAATGCTAAGTTCATATGTACATAAGTTTAAAATAAGCTTTTGTAATGCAAGAGCACCGTCAGCCTGACATGTGTCAGCAAAGTTGACAATTTCTCAATCACTAAAATGACAAAAGTTGCTCGAAGTTTCATAGTAAATAAGTAAATACAACACCTACATACGTCTGTAGGTAAACACAGCGTTAATATTTGATTGATAAAGTTTCGTTTTCGTGCGGTTGTTGCGAGTTTGCCAAGTGTGCTTACGACGTAGCATTTACTTTAGGGATCCTTTACGGATTTTTTGCGCTACTTGTTGTTGCCTTGTGATGATACTTAGCGATACGGGTTACGTGGGTGGGTATGTAGAGGTGGAGTGTGGGTGCATTGAAGCGAATAGTTGAGTGTCACCATTAGTGCGTAGAACTTGATTTAAAGTTTAGAATTTGACAACAAAACTATATATACAGTTTATATGAAATTTTATAATACAATACTTTGAACAGGTTATATTAATTTTACCACGAAGCTTGTAGAAGTTCATATATAAGTAATGCTCTGTAAAGTTCATGTCCGTTGGTGTATACGCGCTCTAGTAACGCAGTTTTATCGAGCTACAATTTAGCACGCGTCCCCAAGAAGCTGCTCATTTGTCGGAACCGCTGATATCGCATCACTATAGCACATAGCTGACATACAAACTAAACGATCAAAATCAAGTTCTTGTATGGAAAACATTTTGATTTGGCAAGATATCTTTACGAAATTCAGCTTGGGTTTTTGTAAAAGGCAACGCTACAATTTTCAAAAATTTATGTTTGATTGGAGGACTAAAGCACATAGCTGCCATACAAAATGACCAAACAAAATCAAGATAAAGTTCATTTTATACCATTTTATGCTATGAAAAATGCACCTGTAAAGCGTATTACAGCTTCGGTGCAGTCGAAGTTAACGTTTTTGCTTGTTATCAATTTTTGTTTGATCTGTGTGTCTTTTTCAGTCATAAGAAATATTTTTTTCCAAAATATTTTGCTGTAGAAGCGCACTAACATACATATATACAAATAAATGTATTTACCGAACTATTATTTTTGACAAATTAAATGAACCGCAATCAAATTAATTCATACCTTACCCCAATATCAATGCTTTTGAAGCGATAAAAAGCAAATCCTATAACTTACTATTAATATCTGCGCATGTACGATTGAAAAGTATGATTAAACAACACTCCCACCACGCATGAGGCGTGCAATTTAAGCAGTCATTCTGAACTACCCATTGCAATATTTTTAATTGAACTCTTTTAATTTTTAATGATTGCTTCATAATTTTTTTACGTCAATCAGCCAGTCAATTGGGAAATATTTTTAATTAATGTCGGCAATCATTTGCACAGTTATATATGTTGAGTGGAATATAAATATGTACCTGTCTCATTCAGTGTACCATTTGATACTTTACGTACCGCTCACTTGTTTATTGCCTGCATTTTTGGTTTGCCACTCTCAAACATACAGTGTTCAAAACGATCTAGCGACAGAAACTTTTTCAAATGTGTGCTGTGAGACTTTTCTTAGGAGGTCTGCATTGTTTCAAGCGCTCTTGTATATTTTATGCATGATAACTAGTTCAAAGCGATTATTTCTTAACATAATCCATAAAAATTTGAAATGGAAGTAGTTTGATGAGGGAGATTTCTTGCTAGTTAATGCATAGAGAAAATTTGTACAACAAACAGTTTCCATATTGAACCAGCACTTACTATACTCCAAAGATTTATGCGCTAATTACAGATATTAACTGAAGAAATGAAGCTATTCATGATATTCTCTGGTAAAACCAATACAAGCATACATAATAATTTATAGAATGTATACTTATTATTATAAATATTCTTCCCAATTGCAATAAAAATAATTTTGAAAAGTTTCTCAGAGTATTTTTAAGTTATTATTTTTCTTTAGTCAGCTTAGTAATTTCAATCACTGTACTCCGTGGGGAAGTGAATGATTATCGAGTGAATCAATTAATTGACTACTTCACTGCTGTCGTAAAATGCTTAATCATAAATGTGTATTGATAAGTGTGACAGCTGAAAAAGCATTTGTCAGGAACATAATTAAAGTAATTATCGTTGGAACATAAAGGCTACAACTGAATATGTCACTGGCAAATGATATTATTAGTAATTATTTACTATACAATACAAACATAATGATTCTTCCTTGATTAAATACTCGTTTACTTTGAATAAATCACAAAAAACACTGTACAACACTTACTTACAATTTAATACAAATATGATGAAAAATTTTGTTTAAAAACAGTATTGGTTAGAGTAATTGAAACGAATTGTCGCCCACAATTAGGTGATGAAAATGCAAAGTAAAATGTTGCCTACTTTTAGGCGATAAAGATCACAAAATAAAATGTTGCCTACAATTAGGCGTATGCTGAAATTTTTTATTATAGTTTATAATACATAGTTTATCGTATATATATACCTCTATTGGTATTTGTTTCCAATTGCCGATTTTTAGGTTATAACCATAACCTAATAACATGTTCTTTTCGTAACCTAAAATATTAATGAAACGAGGAAATAATATCTCACCAACTAGTTTATGCGCTCTGGAACATTTTTTTCTCATTTATTTGAGTGTTCTCAAAGCGACCAGTCTTGTCAAATAACACCGTATGCGGACTTACATTCGCTATTTTATGATAAATGATATGAGTATGAATTAAGTTTAATAAAATGTGTCCGTCGAATGATGAATTGCTTTTGTGACTTTGAAAGTGGACGCAAACAAACAATTACTGATCCGAATTCAAAAAAGAAGTGCAATTAAAAACGTAAAGAGTAAAGATAAATAATTGGCATTATTTTACTATTAATTTTTTATTAAAACTATAAATTTTTAATATCTTTTAAATAGAATTTCATAAAGATAATATGGAACTATTAGTAATTAAAAAATTTTGACGTTTAGTTGTTATCAGTGTCAAAGTAAATCGTCGAAAAAAACTGTTTTTTTGTTGCAACATTATTGCTACTTACATTTGACTACATGCCAATAATATGTGAGATTTGTGGTCATTTTGGATTAATAAATGTAGCTCATATATATATATGTATATTATTTTTTACTGAAATTTTCTAAATATTTTTCTTTTCATTTCAGCAAATAACATACTTTCGGAGGTTATATCAAGATAAAATGAAAGGAAACTCTTATGAGAATTGGTAAGTCCGGCATGTTTGCTTACATATTGCTATATTGCATATATTTTGCAATAATTTTTGAAAAAATTGAAAGTTTAAAAAATGTTTTCCGTATATTAGGCATACTTTTATTTACGCTCTCGATGTTCCGTTGCAACATTTAGTGCGCTGAATGTTGATTGAACATACCCCCCAAGAAAAAATAATCTAGTTGCAATTGCATTTCCTGTATCACACGACAATTTGACCTACCCCAGTAGCGACAATTTTGTTTGTTGACGAAGCCTTTAAGCTAGAAATGGACATGAACTGTGAAAATGGTTTTTCGATGAAAATTCAGCAGTCCATAAGTAAATTCAGTACCAAAATCAAACGTGACATGACGAAATGGCAAACCTTATGGAATACACTGACAAAATTTGACACAAATCTGTAAACAAAAATGGCCGCCACGAGCTGTCAAAATCAATTCATTTCTATTCGTCAACACTGTATAAAGCAGAATATCATTGAAACGACCCAAAAGTTCATCTAGCTCATCAGCGTTCTTAGATGAACTGTTAATTAATGAGCTCCCACGGCTTCTCTCCGAAATTTGTATGAGAAATTAAAGTATGGTTGATAATGCGAGATATTTTATAGTGAGATTTTTTAATTAAATCATTATTTTCTTTCTCTCCTTATTTCGACGCTTCTCGTGTTAAAATTAAGATTATCATTTGAAGTTGCTTTATATTATGCTATAATATATAAGAACAATGAAAATTCGTTAAGGCAGCTGTGAGCTAGTTAAATTTGCAATAATACTCTTGCTATAGTAGTTCTCATAATCTATATATTTTTAAATCTCACTCAATTACAAAATTTTCTTTAAATACCAAAATAAAGCAAATAGTAAATAAAAATTAGCAGAACTGTCACCCTGAACGATTTATTGCACGCAAGGAAGTGTCGGACCTAAGGCCGGAAACCATGCAACCAGCAACTGCCACAACAAAAATTAAAATATAATAAATAAACTGCAGTTCAAACAGGTCGGCGCACCAAGAAGCGCCAGAACTTTTGAATACTTAAAAATGTTTTGAATTATGCAGCAACAAGTTTGGTTTAAAGTTCCCGGATACTTACTGGACAATGCCGCACCCCTGAGGAAACACAAACGCACTATAGGCGCAACTACCCTTTTTAGATATGTACTATGTGTGTATGTGTGTGGGAAGGGCTGCAGCAGATGATAAACTTTATTAGGCGCGTGTGCATGTAGTGGTAGTGCCAGTGCCCAAGGGATAAGCAGCACACAAATAAAAAGACCAAGTGCTCGAGGTACAACAACAAAACTAGCAAATACTCGTCCGACTAACGGCAAAGCGAAAAGAGTTGTTATGCCAAAAATTTTACGAATATTTAATACGTACTTGTATGTGTGTGTGTGCGTGTGCAGCATTGTTTTTCGGTGTTTTAGTGTCTAGTTATTGTTTGGAAACCCTTTTTCAATGCTCCTATCAGCCCCAAGCAGCACACACTTAGCACTTCAGTGGGACTTTAAACAAAACCCAAACAAACTGCAGCACAAACAATTGCGAAGCCACAAAAATATTATTTGTGTAATGCTGTGCTGAAAATGTTTGAGTGTGTGTTTGTGTGCGCTTGTGTATATATGTATTTTTACATAGCACTCGGTATAATTTCTCCGCTGTATGAGTGTAACACTGAAACTAGTTAATAAATTTGGCTCTGATTTAAAAACCCGTACTAGAAAGTGAGATAGAGTTGTGTGTGTGTGTCTGTGTAAGTTAGCAGCAACATATGCACACTCTTATCTGCCCATTGGGATTAATATAGCATTTTTGCTAACACACACGCGCACTGGCTTTTACCGATTTCGGTTGCAGAGTAGCTCATTTAAGTTCCAGTGTCAAGTGTGCAGACATTTGCTTTAGGTCAAGTAGTGAGAAGATGACTTATGTTTACACAGTTACTTACTCAAACACTTCACTTACTTACTTGGTTACTTATGGCTTAAGTGTACTTAAGTCTAGTACTTTGTTTATTTATTTGTTTTGGTTGACCTCAACAAGTGTTGTTGTTAAAGTAAAAAAGCTGATGGATGCCTTTAGAATATCCTTTAGTAAATTAGCTAATTGTTATTAGATAGAAAAGTGCATAAATGAGGTGTGAGTGAAACTATCTCTACTTACAGGTTAAAAGTTTATATTTCTGTGCAAGAAAAATAACACAATTGAAAAAAGTATTGCTTACATTTATGTTGAATAATATAAATGTTTAACCAAGTCGCATACCCCATTAAAGGGAGCTGATCTGAGTGAAATTTATAAAACTTATATACTGTTCATACTTCGATAGTTTATTATCATAATATATAAATAACATACTACAACTTTAAATCAATAATTCAAAAATTTTTTTGCTACAGCCTTCACAAGTATATCCGCTCGGTTCAATCAGCTCTATCAGCAGACGTGTTTTTCTAAAAACTATATTTTTCAAATTTCTTTGAGTGATTACCAAAAGACAAATGATTCGATTGCTATCACATTTTTCTGAAAGTTTGGATATATGTAAGGTGCACAATCACATGCCAGCTTTTTGAGTTCTCTGGTTAAAAGAATTGGAAATTTTGGCAGGTAAAAAAAAAACAAAAAAATTTTTTTGGGAAAATTTTTTTTTTTTTTAAACTTCGCCATTCAGAGAATTTTTGATTTTTTTTAACGGTAGGTAACTGTACGTACAATATAATCTAGAAGGTTTTATCCTCGTAGAACATGGAAATTACAGCAGCAGTGGAGGACATTTTATTTTAACAAATTTTTCCTGGCGATTATGCAACTGCCTTTATTTATATTATCAGTTAGTGCGGAATCGAAATTTATCACCAATATTTTCTCAATTTCTGAAAAATTTTATGCTTCTCCCTCCCCTCTGGTGTATCTAAATCGATTCCTTTTTTTTGTTACTGCTCTTTAGACCAATTTCGTGAAAGAATTTTTTTTATACAAGAAAAAAATAATAAACCCAAAAACTTGGATGTTTGAATTTTTCTCATAAATTTTGAGGTCTTTTCACTACCTTCAGCTTTGCAATATAACTTTATTCTATAGGACTCGTAATTTTACCGAAAATTGATTTAAACTATTTTTAACCCTAAAAAATTCATCAACGCTGCTTACCTTTTCTCTTTCCGAACTCAGATCATTAATTACTTAATTTCAATTATTTATATTTTATCTTTCGTATCCAAGGGGTTTCATCTACTATGCTTTTTTTTGTTTACAAAAATTGTCTACCCTGCTTTAAAAGTCCTATTTGTTGAAACTTTTTCAAGCCGTTCTCTGAAACAGTTGTTGCTGCTTGGCTTTAATATTGCTTCTTCTCTTCTGCTCTTTATTGGTTACGTTCTTATTAAATTTCAGATGTTTTACTAGTTGAACTACGGTTCTGATAAACAGTCTCTCAACTCTCTTTCTAGACGCAATACTCATATTTCAAGCGTCATTTCTCGCTACACGGTTCCACGAGTATCTCAGCGTTTACTAGGAAACCCGAATATAAAGATATCGTAAATCACAGATCACACCTCAGCATATCAGATTTATGTAAAGAGTCGAAATATACTTTTATTAGAATAATTATTAATATGATGTTTTTTGTTTTTTTTTTACATAATATTTAAGATTTTCATGTGCCACTTTACCAAATGAGTACTACATCAACCCACCCACAATAGTAGTTTTTTAATAATATGCTAGCAGTAGCACTTAAAAGGTAGCTGAGTTGAAGACACCTGCTCATAAAAAGATGAACTCGGCTTTAACCTCTCAACAAAACTTCTTTCCTTTCACAAATTGCTACGGCAACATTGCCATAGAAACTTTTGTCTGTACCAAGTCCGCCTACGCGAATACTCGCTACGCAGGCGGATGCGCTGTTGGTTGCAACAATTGCAAGCACTTGTTGTTAGCTTGCTGCTGTTGACTTCGTTGTCTGCTTGTATGTTGCAAACTGTTACTTTATATTGCCGCCACAGGGTGGTGCATTTTTGTTTGAAAGAAAGAAATTTGCAACTTTTCCGGCTTCTGTTGGCGTGCCGCATTTTTTCGTTTGCTACCTTCGCCTTCGACGCGGCATTTGAGGCATACGAAGTTGCTGACTCTTTTTGCTACCCAATACTACTACAGCTCTACTATATTTTTCTCGATTTCCTGCACAGACATTGGACTTAGAAGTTGTTGGTGTTGTTGCTGTCGCAGTACAGCCTCAAGGTGCACTTAAAATGAAGCGACTTTCTTTGTAAGAAAACAAGCAAATAGTTTTGTAGGGGGTGAAAGAATGAAAGTGCATACAAATTAAGTCTACAGTTAAAAGTTTCGTGGCAGCGAGAAGTGCGTAAAAATGTATACAAAAAAACATCTCTTGCTAGTTATTTTGGACGAAGGCTTATACAGATAATCGCTTTTCGATTTAATATGGAAAAAAATACTTATATTTGTTTTTAAAATAATGTTACAAAGGTTGTTTCGGAAAGCTGCACTGTTTCATTGTTTTTTAACGAGTGTTGCCTACATTTTGGCTCACCAAGCTGCACTGATGCATTATTCTACTGCCCGAGTATTGCCTACATTTAGGCTTAACTTAATTTTAGACAAGACGCACACCTAATAAGAAATATTTTTCTGTATAAAAAAGGTATAGAGAGAAACGTTGGTTTTTTCGAAATATATAACGACACAAGCCGAAGAGTATTGAATTCGCTTATAATGGGGGGGCCTTAAGGCTTTATGCTCACTTTTGACGCTAGTCTTTGCTTAATCTACACAGTTGTATATTTTTATGCTATTTTATAAAGACTGAAGCATTTACAATTTGACTTTTTACAAGAATTCAGGAACGAAATTCCCTGAAGTAGCAATAACCGCAAACACAATAGTAAAGACTCATTCCAGATAACATAAGCTATTTGCTGCCATACTCCATACTTATAATATTGACGACTAGCTGAACAT